ATAGACACCAGCAAATGTATATGTTGAAAGTTTCAAGCACTGAGCGTATTTATAAAGAGTTTTCGAAGGATCCACTTTTTGTTGCATGAAATACATGTAATATGGATATGATCGATGTTTTTTCAAAACTGACCTGTTTCTCCTACAAGAACCAACTGCTCATATCCATGAAATAATACAATCAACAATACACTCATCGCACTACAAGAATATAGATAAAAAAATGTTTCGTTGTACTTCATTACGGAATGCGGATCTTTGCTCTTACGCCTCTAATTAGTTAGGATATCCCGATCTCAGTAACCACAAGGAATCAACTCAAACCCAGTACACCGTTAGATCCGTTGTTAAGAGCTGTACAAAACCTGGTATATGAATCATGGGTTCAAGATGCTTTTGAAATCCAACTGGGTCCTTTATAAAAGTAAACACGTACCGAATGGGTGTTTGGCTATTATTGATTTTTCGCCCTCAAGTGGTTCACTTTGTCCAATTGCATTTTCAGCAGAAACTCGAAATTTATATTCGCTGCCTGGGTTAAGTCCTACAACTTCATAATAAGGTGAACGACAAAAACTAGACACTTTTTGCCAATCGCCTTTTTTCGTGTCTAATTTCTCAATTATATAATTGTTTATTGGTGAATTGCCATCATGTTTAGGTGGTTTCCATCGAAGTACACATGAATCTGGTGTTACGTCACTTATTTCCAATGGGCCTTCGCATTTATCTGGTTTATCAACAACGATCACTTTCATTTGAACGGTATCTTGACCAAGTGCATTTTTGAGTGTACACGAATAATTACCAGTATCACCACCTTTAACCTTTGGTATTAATAATTCAGCAATACCATCTTTAATAGCTATTTGCGTATTGCCATCAGGACGCAACTCATCACCGTCTTTCATCCAATTTATCTGTGGCGCGGGAGAGCCAACGAACGGTACCGAAATCTTCAAATCTTCACCGGCGCGTACGATTATTTCTTTCGGACCAAAACCAAAGCCAAGGGCTTTTGGTGCAACATCTGGAGGGCGAGCAGTAATCGGACCATCGGTTTGTGCTATGAGAACAGTAAAAAGAAAATGAATATGATTACAAAGCAAGACGTCAACTCCTCGTACCGTATTCACTTGGGCCAGCTTTATTGACCGCGGCCACACGAAATTCGTACTCTTTACCATCAATCAAGCCAGGAACAGTATGTTCTAGACCAACAGCTGGCTCTCGATTTACTCTAAAAACCAGCGAAGTGATAAAAACAAGTATTTTTAGAGCACCGAAATCGCACAGAAGTTACATAACGCGGCGTCTAAAATTATTCGCAGTATATAGAAACATAAAAAATTTCATAGGCTTCATTCCTGTTATCGTTGATGCTACTTTGCTGCATCTAACTCATTTTATACTGTACGCATAATTTTTGCATCATTGCAGACTGAAGAACAGCAGGCAAAGGGTTTTGAACTATACTTACGGTATCCACCGATCTGTTCCTTTTTCTTTCTTTTCGATAAGATAACCCTTTATTGGACTTCCTCCGTCATTATGTGGCTTGGCCCATTGTAATGTAATAGAATCGCTAGTGTGGCTAGCACATTGTGGTGTCCCTGGTACTCCCGGTGGATTAAACGGCCATTTAGCTTTAACTGGAGCGGCAATTTCCAACGGGGCACTTAAACCGTTCTCATTTTCTGCTGCAACACGAAATTCATAATTTTTTCCATTTTCTAGTCCTTTAACGTCATAACTTGTTCCTGGTGTCGGTGGTCCTACTTTGGTCCATCTACATAAAACGACAAGCACATTATTAGATTCAATAAATATAAAAATGTAAATTCACTCACTTTTCTGTTCCAGCTTCACGTTTTTCGACAACATAATGTTTAATATCATTTCCACCATCATCCTTTGGCGGTTTCCAATTGAGTGTACAGCCTTCGGCCGTTACATTGGTTGCCTCAAGAGGTCCTTCTGGCTTTCCAGGATGATCAAGGACAGTCACACGAAACTGCACTTGACTAACACCTTCAAGATTTCTCAATGCAAGCTTATATGATCCAGTATCAGATCGCTGAGCACTGTGATTTAATAGGGTAACAACATTTTCCAATGTCTGAAAAGTGCAATCTATTAGTGATAGTTGTGAAAAAAAATAAAATATTTTATACTTTTGTAAGAATGCGATCATCACTAAGTAATTCTTTATCATCAACTGTCCATTCAGCTGTTGCTCGTGGTACTGCTTTATAAGGTATGTGAACTTCAAAATCTTTTCCCGCGTGTACAGTAATATCTTTGATGCCTTGTAAATCGAGAAAAGATGGCTTTTCTAAAATAAACGTACATTTAAATTAGGTAACAATTAAATCATGACGAATGCGGCTTTACCTGGTTGATCTTGAATTTTAATTACATCTGTCGGACGACTGGGTTCACCTGGTCCTAAAGCATTCACGGCTCGGACGCGAAACGTAAGTTCATCGCCTTCTTTAAGGTTCGGTATAGTATATGAGTGATCACGAGCTGGCAACTCAGTTACTTCGTCCCAATCGCGACTGTAAAAGAATAAAAAGGATGAGATAGTAGAAGCGGTGAGAAAGTACGATTTTCGTTACCCATCTGGAGAACGTTTTTCGATAACGTAACCGGTAATGCGACTGCCACCATCGTTTGCAGGTTTTTTCCATGATAGTGTAACCGAGTCTTTAGTAACTTTTTCAACTTTTGGCTGATCAGGAGCATCAGCTGGAAATATTGGTACTTCAGCTTTTTGTGGTTTCGTTGGTTTACTTGGTGCTCCAGGTCCAGCCTCATTCACCGCAGCCACGCGAAATTCATACGATTGTCCTTCACGGAGACCGGAAACTGTATAATCCGTTGCTTTTGTTGGGAAACTGTTACACGGTACCCAATCATTAGAATTTTTCTCACGCATTTCTATATTGTAGCCTATAAACATAACGGGAATTTCATATGAATATATATCGACAACCATAATCATGTGGCCATACCTTGTATTGGATTTCCACCATCTTTCGAAGGTTTATTCCATTTTAGTTTTATATAATTTGAATTATACTCAGTTATCTCGGGTACATCGGGTGCATCAGGAGCATCTAATAGTTAAAGAGCAATATAACATTGAACAAATGAAAGAGACAAAGAACATACCATACGGTGGTTTTACAGTGATGCTTGAAGTTGTTTCTAATGGCTCTCCAACTCCATAAATGTTTTCAGCTCTCACTCGAAATTTATATTTTTTATTTGTTTCTAAACCTTTGACTGTGCCTTTTGGTTGAACGAATGTGCCTGGAACTTTTTCCCAATTGTCACTATTTTCCGGACATTTCTCAACTATATAGCCTATATATACAACAAAAATTAGTAATTAGTTGAATCGTAGGCATATTGAAGTTTGTTCGCTTACCAGTAACATCACCACCACCATTTTCCTTGGGAGGTTTCCATTGCAATGAAACAGAGTTTTTTGTTGTCTCTGTCGCAGTTAATGGACCTTCGGGTACGCCTGGCTTATCTTAAAAAAAGATGAAAATCTCATGAAGTACGTATAATGGATAGAAAATAAAAGTTATCCTACCTAGCACAATAACATCAATGTCGCATTCATCTTCACCAGATGGATTTTTCAATGTGATTTTATATTTTCCCGTATCACCTCGTTTTGCACTTGGTTTATGGAGTTTTGCGTGTGTATCATCACTTTCCAGTTGTGTGCTATTAATCGAATATACGTGTTGCTGATAGAATAAAGCAAAATAGCTCAAACTCACTCTCGTGTTGGTTGCACTTCTTCACCGTCTTTTGTCCAAGTAACAGTTGGAGCAGGAGCACCATTTATGGGTAAATCAATTGTTAGCGGTTCACCGGCTTTAACACGAATTTCTCTCTTTCCTAGCGGACCAAATAGTGAGCTTAAATCGAACGAAGGCTTTTCTAAATGAATTATCGAACATACAGCAGACTGAAAATATTAATGAAACTGAGTAGGATCTAACCGTTTTCGGGTTTAGCAAAAATGCCGGCACTTCCAGAACTTGGTTCTCCTGGACCAGCTTCGTTTACAGCTGTCACTCTGTATTCATACTCTTTTCCGGCTGTTACATTTTCGTCAAGAAAATTCGGCGTCTAAAATGATCACAAAAATAGTCAAGAGTTCTACCTAATGGAAATTAAAGACGTACCCTGTGTAATTCACCTTTATTAACTTTGGACCAATCTTTTTTCTTTGCCGTTTTGTCTCGTCTTTCTACTATGTAGCCTTTAATCGGTGCACCACCATCGCTTCGTGGTGGAGACCATTTAATTTCAATATGATCACGATTACGACTGGTGCATTCAGGTGTTCCTGGTTGGCCGGGTTCAGTAAATGGATTTTTAGCTATTATACCTGTTTCTGTTACTAAAGGTTCACTAAGACCATTTGCATTTTCAGCCATAACGCGAAACTTAAACGTTTACGATAAAAGTTGTTAAATGAAACTATGAGTAAGAAAGATTTGATCTAAAATACCTCATATTCGTGTCCTTCTTTTAATTTTGGTATCGTTACTTGTGTGCCATCAATTGCATCGTTAACACGCACCCAATCTCCGCTTTTTTTGTCACGTTTTTCGACAACATAATTCCTGCAATACATTCAACTGGAGTAAATAATGTTTCAGATAATAATAAAAACAACATACGTGATGTCTTTGCCACCCGTATCTTCTGGTGGTTTCCATGCCAAAGTAACACTGTTTTTGGTTACCCCTTTGACTTCTAACGGACCTCGAGGTCTCGACGGTGGACCTAACAGATTTTTATATCGTTGCAGGTTGAGAAGAAAAGACATGCAAACGCTGAGCAAGATATTTCCTACATACCCAGTACGATGACTTCACATTCTGCCTGTTCTGTTCCAGATCCGTTAACCAACCGAATGATATATTTTCCGGTATCAGAACGTACAGATTTATTAATAACCAGTTTTGCTAATTTTTCGGTTAGTGTAATTTGTGTGCGATCATCAGGTTTGACTTCCTTTATAAAGTAAAACATTTGTAATTAGTTTAATAAAGTCTACGTATGATAAAGTGAGTACCGAAGATTCTTTAAGCCATTGCATCGTTGGCAATGGTTCAGCAACAAACGGTGCTTCTAATGTAATTGGCTGACCTTGTTTGACCGTAACAGATTTTAAACCAATTCTGTTTATTTTTGGTGCCACTAATCGAAACGAGCACATTTTAAATACTTATTACATACAAAAAAGGTTATATCTGCTTACAAAATCTTGGTTTAGCTACTACTGGCTTCGATGCTTCGCTCGGTTCACCCGGACCGGCTTTATTACAGGCAACCACCCGAAACTACAATGAAACTCGAATGCAATGTTAATTAGTTTGTGAATCACGTTGAAAATATACCTCATATTCTTTTCCTTCCAACAGCAATGGACAGGTGCCTTTTGTTCTTTGTCCATCAACTTCTGCTCCCTAAAAATTTGCGTTCAAAATTTAGAAAAGAGAACAGCCTCTATAACAGTATGCCTACCTTTTGCCATTGATCTTTTCCTTTTTCTCGTTTCTCAATTATGTATTTTTCTATCGGTGCACCACCATCTTTTTCTGGTGTGCTCCATTGTAAATCAACATGGTCTTTGTCCCAATCAGTTGCTTCAGGTTGACCAGGCGCACTCGGCTCATCAAACGGATTTTTAGCTAAAGTTTTTGCTGTTGTTTCTAGATTTTCACTTTCTCCTTCTTTATTCAAGGCACGTACACGAAACAAATATTCTTTGCCCGGTGTCAATTTTGTTAATTTCAATGATGTGGCTTCTCCATTAATTTCACCGGCCTAGAGCAAAAATACATATAGCGGTTGAATGGTCTATGATTATTTTCGCTCACCGGTGCCCAACCGCCACGTGAAAGATCTTGTTTTTCTACTATATATTTTTCTATTGTACAACCACCATCGTCCAATGGTGGTTTCCATGATACAACACATGTTTCTTTTGTAACATCTGTTACTTTCAAGGGGCCTTCAGGCTTAGCAGGTTTATCTAAAGTCAAATTAATTAGTTCATATATCTAAAAATAAAACTATCATCTCTTACCAATAACATTAACATCAATTGGAACTTTGATTTCTCCTTTGGCATTTCTTAATGTTAACTCGTATTTTCCCTTATCACTACGTTTTGTTTTTTCAATTGATAATTTTGCTTTTTTGGCATCCACTGCTGTTTTGCATGTATCACTGTCAGCGGCTTTTCCGTCTTTTGTCCAACTACCAAGTGGTTGTGGAAAAGCATCATAAGGTATATCTAGCTCAAGAGGTCGGCCAGCTTTAACCGTAACAGATTTTGCAAAACGAGAAACATCAATTCTCGGTGGTTTATCACCTAAAATAACAACCATATCGTTGATACTGTTTCTCTCGACAGAGCTATTAACATACATTCTTTAACGGTAATGCGACAGCTATCTTTTAAATCACCACATTGAAATTGAATTTCTCCAGCATCTTTCAATGTAAGGTCTTTCAGCGTTAAACGATATTTATTTCCATCGTTTATTATCACAATCCTAAAAAACAAAACAAAATGATAATTTTTAACTTTCTTTCACATTCAATAATATTCAATACTTTTGATCTGGATATAGCGTTTTTCCGTCTTTTATCCAACGTGGCCGTTGATCAGATTTATTCATTTCAACCTCTAAAACGATGTCAGCTTCTTCTAAAGCATCTATATCGCTCAATTTGCTTTCAAATCTAAGTGCAGCTAAAATACAAACACATTGGATCATTTATATACAGTTAGTTTTAATAAACTTTATCGACATGTCTTACGTTTAACAGTTAATTCTGTTGCTGTTGTCATTACACCCGTTTTACATTCATATTTGCCTTTATCTTCTGGTTTAAGGTTTTTAACAACCATTTTGCGTACTTTTCCATAAGATATGACTTCATATTTATGTGAATCGAGTTCGGGTATTATTTTCTACAAAAAAGAGAGCATATTGTATTGTTTAAACAACAAAATTATTTCGCCAACTTACTTCTCCATTATAAAACCAGTCACATTCAGCATCTTCATCCTGAACAGTGCATTCCAATTCAATTTGATCATTTTCATCAGCTTCCATAGTTGGTGGTAATTTTGTTTCAAAACGCCATTGTGGTTCTAGTAGAGGAACAGCAACAGACTATAGAAAGAAAAATGATGATGAACTAACGTCTCTTACCTTCAACATATAAATACCCTGTGGTTTTAACACCACGTTCATCATCTATTTGACATGTATATTCGCCTTCATCTGCTTTCGTTGTTTTATTAATTCGAAAGATACAACGTGTCATATCTTGATAAATACGAAATCGTTTATCTTTATCTGTCTATAATAAAAAATAAAAAAAGACAAAAGATTTAAGTTTACTATATGATTTATATGTTGGAAGAGTGTTGACACATACATCAATTGGTACTGTCCCTTTGTACCATTTAACAGGAGCTGATGCGTCATTAACATGACATTCAAGAGCAGTGGGTTTTGTTCGAAATACTTCCATTTTAGCTGGTAATTCTTTATAAAAATCATACAATGGACGTGCAGCTAAAATTAGATACAAAATTGTCGATTAGTAAAGAATATAAGAAAGAGACAATAAATATTAAAAAAAAGATATAATTTTACATACGTGTGACTTCTAGCCAAGCAGATGTTTCTGTTTCATTAACTCGACAAAAATATTTTCCACTATCATCGGGATGTAATTTATAAATTGTTAATTTATGTCTTGGTCCACTTGAATCAAAATGATATTTTAAACCATGAAATATTTCTACTTTATTTTTCATCCTAAATAGCAAAAGCAAAATATTATTATTACGAGAAATACACATATTTATTATACTACCATCTTAGTTTTCCACTCGATTTTGAAAAAACACACTGAAATGTTCTTTCACCATCTTCTTCTTTACATTTAATATCTTGAAGTGGTTCAATAAATGTTTCTTTTTCCTAAAATTTATTTAAAAAAAAACAACAACAATATTAATATACTGATTAAAAATCAATAAATAGTATACGTACGTGGTATCAAACATATCACTGCACACCATGCATCTAACAAATGAATGGATAATAATTCATGCTCAAATCTCAAATCTCGATATTCATGCAGAATATTCATTTAAATTTATTGAAGCATTTACCCCCAAAAATTTTTGTTTGTGATTTGATTATATATATATACACACATATATATATATATATAAATATATATATACGATAGCAAGTGTTCAAAGCAATTAAGCGAATATTATTATATGTGCATTTTGATAGACATATGTGAATGATTCACCTTTGTCGGTTTAACAGTTTTATGAAGTGTTGGCCAATCAGGAATAACATCAGCTAATGATGGTCGTCTTGTTTTTGAATCACGACGTACTTTCAATAAATTTTCTTGATCAACATGACGCAATGATGTTCGACGATCGTCCATGATAGAAGAACGTCGTGATGGGGTATTTTCATCATTACCAGTCTATTTATTTGGTATAAATTGGAAAAAATAATAAATACACTCTCACACACAGAGGATAAAAAAGAAAATAATAATGTAGAATTTATTCTATCTAGATATTTTAATTCAAACAAGGTAAACCTTGGAACTATCTATGTCAGTTGTAAATAATTAAATATTTTAAAATGAAAGAAAAACTGCATCTGAAGATATTTTTTGTTCTTAATTGTTAGAGATGGATGGATCTTTCCTATTTCGAGTCCAAATTATTTTGTCTTGAATCTAAAACTTTTTCTTTTTTTTAAAAGTTTGACTACTTTGTTTTTAAAGAACAATCGTCGTAAAAATACATCTAGCAAGTAAAATCTCAACATGAAAATAGTCCTTCTATTGGAATTGATTGTAATCGTAACTGAAAGAAAAAATTTCATTGCTGTTTGTTGTAAAATACAATAAACAGGTTCTTCTTGAAAAGTTAATTGTACATTTTAATAGTCTTTTCAGTTAGAAATAGTTTCAGTTCACAAAATATTGATAAGTTTAAAAAAAGAAAATGACTCGAATCTTTATCCCAGGTCTTTCATAACTCGCCCTGCTCTACTAATTGTGACTATTATTCTTTTTTTTTATCACTTGTTAAACTATCTAACAAAAGGAGTTTTTCTTTCTCTAACTATGTTTCAAAGAGATTTTTGAACACTTTTACTATCTAAAATGTCAATTTCTAAAAACAATTCATCTCACCTCTTCAGGTTGATCGGTACGAATTTGTGGAGTATTAACTAAATAAAAGAATAATAAACAAAATTATTTTAATGATAATGTAGCATAATGCTATGGTTCATGCAAATTAAAGAAGAAATTATTATCAAACTAATCGTGCTACATGCAAAAATAATGACAATTATTTTCTAGACTATTTTTCCTAACTAATTAGAAACTAATTTATTCTATCTATTTTAAAGATAAATAGAAAATAGTTTGAACAACCGTGTTTCAAATCTGGCCAATCCATATCTTCTTCGTCCAATTTTTGTTTAGCAAATTCACGATGTTTTAATACATCACGAAAATCTAATGCCGCATCTTTAACTAGAAATAATTATTAAATATAATTACATGCAAAAAAATAAAACAGGCATTTAAATAGATAGTTTAACGTATGAGCAAAGCAACCTTTCCGTCCTCAAGATTCAAAGACACTTTTTCTCATTGTTTTAGACATTTCTCTTGGCAATGTTTCGATTAATTACATGAAACAAGTGAATAAACTAATAAATAACGGACATTATATTTTGTTTATAAAAATAATAATCTGTTCTATGAAAATTTGCTTACGTTTAACAAATAATTTGAAGTTCACTTGCTCTTCACCATGCTCATTATGAATTAATATTCCATATTGAGCTTCATCTTCTTGACGACATTTTGTTAGTGTTAATGTACATGTACCAGTTGTTCGATCAATTTCCATGTGATATTTCGCTCCTGCAGCTATTTCTCGAGAACCTTTTAACCACGATACTTTAGGAAACGGATTACCATCAATAACAGCCTCAACAAAATCTCGTTCACCTACAAATTGTATATACGAAATTTTGACTTAACGAAGTCAAAAAAATTCAAAAAATTATTTGTCAGTATTGATTTTATTCAATTTTCTGTCGATTAGACGTAAGAGATACTTTAGTTATCTATTAAAGAGTACAAAATCTACATTGACAGATAATGATGAAAAAAAATTCTATATTTTATTATAAAATCTATTCTAAACTATTCAACTAACTATCTACTCAATTACCTTCTTTAAAACTTAAGTTTTGTGGTTTTTCGATAAAAATTGGTGCAAGAATATCCGTATGTTGTTCCAATGCTTCTCTTATTTTCTTTTCACGAGGTTTTGAACCTACATTAACATAGTGTAAAAGCATAAGCAAAAACATGCATAATGTGTTGATTATATAAGTCATATAGATGTATGAGTATATATGCAAGCATTGCATGCATACTACTCTCAACTTTTCTCAACTTACTTGACATTTCTGAAATAGCTTCTAATTTTGTTTGTGATAAACGTTTCGATTTATCAGCAGTAGCTATCGTCGGTTTTGCTCGTTTGGGCCCTTCCTCCTCATATAATGGCTCATCCGCTGTACGAAAAGAAGATAAACATTAATGTTGAATAAATCATTTTCAAATAATTTTTAAAACATGCAAAATAAAATAAAGGTAAAGTTTTGTTTTTTTGTTCATACTTTGAATAACTGGAACCGATGATATTTCATTATAATCGTCATCATAATTATCATTATTGGGTATTGAAATTGTAGGTGAAGAAACTAGAGGAAATACACGCCTACTCACACAAACTATAAGCATAATGGTTCGAATTTAAAAAACATACAACAAATAATAATTAAAATTATTCTGAATTTATATTGGTAAAACAGTGTTGCAAGCACTTTTATGTGATATTTCAGGATTATCTATCATCTATTGTAGAGATGAGCAGGACTGAACATGTTTTGGTGAATTTTTTAGACTATTTGCTTTTATTTACAGTTAATTTAGATGTTTCGATAAAGAAATATTCTTTTAGAAACGTTTTGAAAACAAAAACAAGCCTTTTTTTGTTGGATTATGAACGTTCTTCAGCATAAGCCTATTTTTTAAAAATTCATGACAGTCTCACTCAACTCTAGTTTATGGTCAGGTTCAGAAAGTTTTATCGTAATAGAGTAGCCATGTAAATCAAAAAAATATTATGGTGGATTGAAACTGGACGCTACTCTTTGTAGCATAAAATATTTTTTTGGTTCATGCTACTGTTTGGTAATGTACAAAATTATATTAGGCTGGGCATAGAGAAGAGAATCACTTTGTTATTTCACCTGCATCATCGTGTTTTGAGGGTTGAGTGGCTTCTTGTGTTTTTTGTTGTTCTAATGCTTGTTTTCTTTGATCTTTTTTACTTGGTTCTTCATCTTTTTTCGTGGATTTTGGTGGTGGTTTTCTTACTCGTTTTGTTCTTCCTTTTTTTTCTAAAATGTAAAACCGCTAATGTTACTAAGTTGATTTCATCAACGATATAAAAAACATCGTACCTTTAACTGTCACTTTAACATTTTGTGTTGCTTCTCCGGCTTCATTCCATGCTTCACACATCCAGTCTCCGCTATCTTCAACGTAACCATCTGGAAGAGTTAATTTTGCTATTTGTCCATCATATTCTTGAACAAACTCCTGTCATAAAAATAGTCTTTCTTTTTGAAAAAATTCACTATCTTCCAAAGCATTACGGTAACATACAGCAGAAGGTTTCACTTCTTTTTTGTTAAAAAACCATGTGATTTCAGGAGTTGGTGTTCCTGTAACTTTGCATTGTATTTGAACTTTTTCACCATCATTCGCAATCTATGAAATTGAAAAAAACATTTTTAACTTACTTTCTAGAAACTATCCAATAAACCTACAATATCTTTTGGTTTATCTGGAAATGTAGGTGCTGCCATCTTGGTTTTGGTATCTGCAGCTGATTTGGTATCTGCAGCTGGTTTAGTATCTGCAGCCGGTTTGGTATCTGCAGCCGGTTTGGTATCTGCAGCCGGTTTGGTATCTGCAGTCGGTTTGGTATCTGCAGCCGGTTTGGTGGCAGTCTTTGCTTCTGTCGGTTGTTTAGGTGTAGCAGCTGGTTTTTTTTCCTGTTCCTCATCGTCGCCAAAATTACAATCGTCTGTAATAAAATAAAAAATAATAGCTATTATTTGTAAAAATCAACATATCCTTTTTAATAAAGTCACCTGGTGTTAAAACAAAATCGGTAACACTTTCGCCGGCGTTATTTTTCGCTCCAACACTATAATTTCCGGCATCGGTTGCTGTTGGTTGATCAATGGTGAGCACAAGTGTATGATCTGGTTTGCCTTTTTGAACAGCTTGACTAATTCGAGACTGAAAAACATAGTTTTTGAAAGAAAAAAGTATAAGTTTGCACACTCTAACTCAAAAACATACACTTTCTTTGAGCGGTGCATTGTTTTTAAACCATTCGGTTTTTGGTTCAGTTGATGAGACACAATCGATTTCCACCGTCACTTTTTTATTTGCTTTGTCACGCTTTATTCTTGGCTTTTTAAGTTGAGGACCAGCTTCTTTGGCAGCTTCCGGTCTAAAAATAGGGAACAACGATTAATGTGTAAATTGCAAATGATCAGCAAATAAAATTTATCGCGTCGATTGGATGAAGGAATCAACCAATACCAATTGCATCCGAATATTTAATTTTAATGTTTTAAGGAAAAAACAAGTCATTGAAATAACGGTGATAATATGTGATCAAATAGAAAAAAAGTGCATCTTTCGAGTTCTTTTTCGTTCTTTCTCAATAAAAAAAAGTCATTGGATGAAAGTTTATAATTTAATCATGGATCAAATGGGCTTTTGTTTCTGTGTTCAGTATACTATACTATTAAAAAGTAGCGGATTTAAGGGGATGGCGATGCGCGCGACCGCACGTATCGAAATTTTTGATTTTTTACTACTTCTTCCTAGCTCAAAAAATAAAATAAACACGAGGTACGCTATAGTTACTCTTTTGTACATATCTTCCATCACCAAAATATGTTTCTAGATCCATCATTGCTAATATTAAAACCCACTAACCCCAATATTAAATATCTTAGTGGTCTGATAAACTCGAAAATAAAATCCTATGTGATCTTTGTTTAAATTAAAAATTAATCCTTCAATGGTTTTTTTTATTGATTAGGAACAGGACGAGCACATTCTTTCTGTTAATCACATGTCACGCGAACATTTAGATGTATGACAAGTTGTCATACATTTAGATGTATGATGACAATTTACCACATTTTAGATATAGAGAAAGATTTTAATACAGAGTTACAACGCGAAAACGTAGAAAAACAGCATCCAAAGCGAATTTAATAATGACTCAACAGAATTAATTTCTATAAGAATATTTTTAAGTTCAATGTGGAGAAGAAACGTTTTTATCTCACTTGAAAAATGTCATGATAGTAAAGATAAAATTTAAAAAAAAACACTAGATTTTTACTTACTGTGCACCAGCATCCACAGTCAAATTAATAAGTGATTGTGATTCACCTGCATCGTTTTTAGCCATTATTTTATACAATCCCGAGTCCTTTGTCTCTGGATTCTATATGAATTGAAAACATCGTTTAACATCAGTTTCTTTGTTATTGTAAACTAAACACATACCAATACTTCTAGTACATATAAATATGTGTCTTCTGATTCTTTTGTTTTTGTCATTTTATATTTATTTGGTGTTTCTTTAATATCGACTTTATCTTTTTTCCACGTTATTTTTGGTTCTTGTTTTCCTTTACATCGACATTCAATTGTAATCGATTTTTTAGTTACAACTTTTGTAATTTTTGGTTTTTCAAATGATGGTGCAAGTTTATCAGTTTGTTCAAGATTAATTTTATCACCTTTATAATTAAATATAGTTTGTTTTTTAATCAAATATTGTTTGTAATTGTAAATAATACTTACCAACTACTTTTAATACAACATTGGCAACCGCTGTACCGAGTTCATTTGCTAATGTACATTTATAGATACCACTATCGGATGTTGTCAAATTCTAGAAAACAGATATAAATTGATAATCAGATTAATATATATATTTATTTTATTTTATAAAAAAACATACCTTAATATCAAGAAATATACTATAACGATTTGATCCTTTTCCAACAATTCGTGTTATGATTTTATCAACATTTAATAGTTCTTTATTATCTTTTGTCCAATGAATGGATGGAGTTGGATCAGCTTCAATATCAATTTGAACAGTAGCTGATTTAGCATCTTGTTTTATTGTTGGTTTAGCCGTAAATGTTGGTGCAATACCTTCTGGCAATCTGTAAATAAATAATAATAGTAATAATTCATATAATTTATCTTCGATAAAATGAGTAAAATAGCCTACTTGAAATCAACTCCTTCAATATTTAACTGTATGTTAGCTGAACCATCACCTTTGGCATTTTTAGCTGTAACACGATATTCACCAGAATCTTTTTTAGAAAGATTTAATACTTCAAGAAATATTGTATGATTATTTCCTTCTGACAAAATTCTAAAATAATTCATATGCTAGAAGAATATCAATGACATAATTAATTAGTAGTTTACCCTTGTTTATATTTTGTTCCAATTACAATTGGTTTTCCACCGAGATTCCATGTAAAAGTTGGTACCGGATCAGCTAAAAAAACAAAAAAAAAAAATTGTAAAATACGTAGATGTTCAAATGTTCCAAAATGTCCAAAATGATCCAAAAATATAATTATCAATTTACCTGTACAACGACATTCGAATAGAACAGATTCTTCAAACATACGAATTTGTGGTGCAACAGTGAATGATGGACGACCACCACTACCTTGTTCTTGATCTAAACAAATAAAGATTAATTAAATTTTTCATATATAATAACTATCGTATTTACTTACTGTCCAAATTTAAAGTAATATGAGCATTACTTTCACCTAATTTATTCTTGGCTGTTACTTTATATTTTCCAGCATCTGTAGCATTAACATCATCTATTTCCAAACATGCAACATAAGCATTATTCGGAAGTGGATCACAATAAATTAAATAACGTCCTAGAAAAGAAGAAAATTAAATTAATAATGGTATAAAATGATATTTTATCTTCTCAAATAACACACATTATGTCACTCAATGTTAACCATGACCTTAACAAAACTGTTGAAAATCTCTCGCATTTTAATGACTACTCTAAGAAGAAAATTTAAAGTTAAGATATTTCTCAATCAAAGAAATTAGCTATGTTCATCGATCAATAGTAAACTCTAACCACTTCATTTATAATTTTTTTGATCTATGTAAAAAATTTTAAATTTATCACGTACCCGAATCTTGTATTGGAACATCATCACGCGACCAAAATAAATCGGGTTTTGGATCAGCTGCTATTTTACATTCAAATATCAATCGTTTGCCATCATTTTCTTGTTTAATAATGGGTTTTTGAATAAATGTCGGTGATGTACCTTCGGCTGAACTAAATGAACAAAAAACAAACAAATATACATTAGATATTTAGCTGTCATATTTTCATTCACAACGGACGTGAAAAATGTAAAACTTACTCTTGAGCTGGAGCTGCTGCTGCATCATCTTCACCTAAATAACAAAAAAAAAGTGTAAATATTGATAAATAAATACGTTTTTTATGTACTTTTGAACTTTATACCTGCAAAATTAAGATTAACATTTGCTGATACTTCTCCTGTCTTATTTTTTGCAAGAATACGATATGTGCCCGCATCTTCTTGTCCCAATTGATTTATTTCCAATGATATATCGTATGTATTTGGTGTTGTTGATGTTTTTATTGCTTGTTTATACTTTTCTGCTGCGGATAATTTTTGATCATTTTTAAACCATGTTATATCGGGTTTGGGTGAAGCTTGCACTTGACATTCAAGAAATAATATATTACTGTCGTCTGGTAATTGACGAATAGCTGGCGGTGTAGAAAAACGAGGAGCGACATCATCGCCAACAGCCATCCTAATTGCCTATCTACAAAATATTAATTTTGTTAAATAAGTAGAAGTTTATTTGTTCAATCTTAGCTTCGCTTCGTGCAACAATTGATTTTTGTGTTTTGACAGTTTAAGTTTCAGAATGATATAACAGACATTTTATTCTCGATTTCGTTCTAGTTCAGGATTAAAGCTTAAACTAAGTAGAAGGAAACATCATTCTATTGCTCTTTCAATTAGATCAATAGCATTTTCTTCTCAATGAGCCATAGTTTGAAAGTATTTTTCTATAATCAAGAATAGACCAGTGTAAAAACGAACGCTATAACTAGTTGACAGACAGAAGGTAATGATGATTTGTGAAAGAAAATAATCTAATATGTACTGATTAAAAAGTGTTGCGGTCAGATGATCTTAAAAGAAAAATAATAAATAAAATAATGCTACTGGTCAGAAGTGTCAAATATGAATTTTTTTTTCTTTTCTTTGATTGAGAACGTCATATTGCTTTTTTTTGTTGCTCATATAGAGATGGGGGGAGGGTTGTTGTCCTTAAGTAAACACCAGGGAACAACAAAAGACTAACGATTTATAACAATAAATTTCCGGAGATAAATAACAACGCCTTCTTATTTCACGTATAAACACATATATTTTGGTTGATGTTGTACCCACATAGAAATGGTGATATTAGTGAAATTTCTATTTTTTTTTCGGAAAAAAAAGGAAACTGTATGTTACATGTACAATCTCTCTTTCTCTCGAACTCTGTCGGTATACATGTTTGGGTATGTGTGTGTGTGTGTGCGAGCAGAAAAGAGAATAAACAATTTTTTTTTGATATAGTCAGTTTGTTAGAACATTATCCATCCATTTTCAGAGTATCGAAGAATAATATGATAAAGAATTAGATATATATAGATGTAGATGTATAAAGTACCCTAAAAAGTCTCCCCATGCTATAGAAAAATAACTGAGTTTCTTTTTTTTGTGGTTGTGTTGTTAACGCAAATATATATAAAGATATTTGCAACGACAACAAGAAAAATTTTCTATGCCATTGGTATCTGTTGTAGTTTTTTTTTCTTTTTTTGTTTCGCTTTTCTTTTTCTTTGAAAATGTACAAATATCCTATCGCTTTTGGATAATTGTGCATGTAACTATCTATTTACTTCATGTACAAAATAACAAACAGAGAGACATATCTATACCACAAATGAATGAGAGAGCAAATATAAAAGACAATTGACAAGATAACAACATAAGAAAAAAATATCACACAGGAGTCCAAATAAAGACAGAAAAATAATAATAGTAGAAGAGAAAAACCTTGGTAGGAAAAAAACAAATTAGCTAACTAATAATGAGCTCTTTAATAAAGAGAAGAGATTTGAAAAATATTACAACATTCAAATCTCATGATAATTAGAATTAACTGATGATAACAATGATGAAAATATACTTAACAAGATAGTGATTGTAGCTCGTTAACAGTAACAGAGTAAAAGTAAATTTTTGAATAGTAAATTGAAACGTTCGTCTGTTGTTTATCCGTAGTCAAAAAATGTAGCAGTCAATTATTCACAATAATAGTATGTATGAAACTGTCTACATCAAGAGTTTAATGTTTTTGACCTTTGAGGTTAACTAAATTTCTCATTATACTAGACAGAACTCTAATCAATGAGAGAATCTAATCAGATTTTACCATCGATATCAGATAATCTTTGTCAGCGATTTCAACCAAAGAGAATAAATTGACAATCCACATTATCTATCTTAAAAACTTCTACATTAAATCAATGAATAATACTTTAAAGAAAAATACTAGAATTTTCTGTGTTTACCTAAGAGCTAAAGCTTAACGTGAACACCGAAATCTACTATTTGTCATTCCATTAAATGCATAGTGTCAAAATTTAGTAAATTGTTGTTATTTCTCACAGTACTTTTGTTAAGATAAAACTTCTAGGAAAAAGAAGGAAGAATACTCATCTTTGTGGCTACTGTTGTCAGTGTAGGATATTAACAAGTGTCAGTTCTAGTAACCCGACACTTTGTTTGTAGCTGATAAGCTTTTGACATGGTTACTACTAATCACTAACTGCAATCTGGTTCAGGAGACTAGCCTGACATAGAGTCTCTCGGTCACTCATTTGAACTCGCCATAGACGCTAACTAACCACATACTTGTTCGATTCAGAAAATCATATGAACTAACCGAAGAAACTGTATTACAAGCCACAATGCAATAATTATGCTGTCAGATGGGTGCTCCCAGGCACCGAGACATTAAAAACTTACCCAAGGTTATTATGAAGAAATTCTAAATTGAAAACGACCACGAGACGTGTATAAACGGCAAATATCAATAATTTCTTGAACTGTTGTCGTATTGTAATTAAAACAATGTAATATGAAAAAATCAATAAATCATTAAATGATTAATCGATAATCAAGCGATGTTAACGATAAATTTTCTATGAGAAGTTTGTTTGTAAGTTGTTTGTTATCTATATTAAATAATAATTTTGCCAGCTAACCATCACCATTCGTAAGAAATATTTTTGAGCAGTGTGCGAATTGGATTCATTACAAATCTGCTTCGATTATCTCGTGCAAATTGTGCGTTTCATATGACTATCCTATACACATTCTACTAAAGTTAGCTACTAAAAACTTAAAGCTGAACAGTAGAAAATTGAAAAATATAAATATTATAATGATCAGTTTTGAATAATTTCGAAAAACTTGGAGGAACAAACATTTTGTAAAGTTTTCTTCTTATCATCTTTTTTCTCAATTCTACTGTTCAAAAGTTTGGTTTACAAAACAATGTAAAAATTCATAAACTGAAAGAACAAAAGGGTAGATAATTACCACCAATCAGTCACTTACTCCCCCTTCTCTGTCATCATCGGCTACCACCATCTAATTCGCATCTGTTATATATAACAATCTTTTTTATACTCAACATCCTCAATATATAAGTGACTTCGATTTACTTTTTTCAATTTTGTACTGGATCCGAGCATAGAATGCCATAAGAATGAGAACATTATCTTAAAATTATCTTAGTACAATTCCGTTTGCAAAAATGCTTTCTGTCTTTTCGACTATTCTCTATAAAACGAAATGTTTTTATTATAAAAATAAACGATTTGAATGTTGTTTTTAAAGTGACAAAGAAGAAAGAAGACGAGCTACTGATATACTCAGTTATCTTTATAGTGATTAAGTATTCCCAAAGTGAAAACATACGGTATAAATGATTATTTGAAGAGAAAAAAGAACTAATAAATAATAACAATAGAAAATTACAAAGGATTCTGTGCAAAATAGTTCAGTACAAGGTGTACATCAAAAATTCGTACCTATTCACACAAAAAATACTCGAAAAGATGTCATATAACACATCTTATTAAAAAAATTATTATCTGCGCATAAAAACATACCTTTGAGTAAATACTGTTTCAAATCGTACACTGTCCTTCCACTATCTAGTCAACCTAACAATTATGTACGTAAACAAATCACATATGATATTTTTTAAAGAATATACAAAACCGCGAATCTCATTTTTATCAAGATGATGACACACACACTATTCTATGCTGCTAATACTAACAATTGCGCGACTATATATTTTTTTATACGTGTAATATTTCGAGATCTGTAATCTTTCTACAAATGTTTTTTCAAGCGATGTCGCAAAGGAAAGAGAATATGTATGGCACTATAGAAAGGAAGAGCTCAATGCGCGTTAAGAAAAAAGCGTTTTTCTCTTATCTAGAAGAATATTTTACTAACTTGTATATACATACACGCGCGGTATGTTGTGTCTCTTCAATGTAATTTTAACGACCATATCGTAATCAACAACAGCATTAGCAAGAAAGGAAGAAATAAAAAAAGTGCCAGATATAAAAAAAAACTGTATAACTACTATACAGTTCTAGACGACAACAAATAGCAAGAAAAGAGTGCATCTCTTCTGCTTCTTCACACGCTCGAAAAATTATACAACCTTAATCGTACATAGATTATCATCCATTTTAAGAAAAAAAACAGTACATGATAATAACAAAAGAAGAAAAAAATAATAAAACAAAAACACAACAAAGAATGAATAATATAGACGAATTCGAGAAAATGCAACTATCTCTATTTTTATAGACACTTTTCCGTCTTTAAGGAAAGAACAACAATCAGTTGTTCTTAGAACAGCGATCTTTTTGTCCATAATATTTGAGGAAAACCGGGAAAAAATCATTAGTGACCTTACAGGAATAAAACATACTACTTATTGAAGAATGTCAATTCTAAAAACTAGAAGACATTTCAATTTTGAACAAAAAATAAAAAAGATTCTAAACAAAACTTACATGTGTGTTCGGAACTGAAAATAGGAGAGAAAAACATTAAAGCGAATAAATGACCACAGATCGCACAATAAATACATTTATTTCCTATTCTCCAGAAATGTCACACAATCTTTTTGATTGTAAACAGTGACAATTCATTATTACATATATACTAGCCATAAAATACTTCGCATTGCCCTTAAAATATGATATTTTGCAACAAAAATTGCAATCATTTCTACGATACATATATGGAATGACAACAATTACATTGACAGTTCCATAATGAACAAACTACCTGTTAAAAATATTCATCATCACCAGATGCTTCACCACTCTGTATTGTCTAAATCTTTAACAAATCTAAAAATAAGTCGCCCAAGATATTATGTGTTATTAAATTAGAATAGGTAAACCCCTACATGTTCGTCTCATGAAAGTAGAATCCTTTTTCCCTCTTTCTATCTATTTCTATGTCTTACATTATCTAACATACTTACACTATCAATATTTACTTTAATTGCCAATAAAAGAATAATAGACTGATGCTGTGGTAATGCGAAAAATGAATATGAATGGCAGTAAAAAAAATTAATAGTATTTATACTTCATTCAATATATGGAGATGTGTGCTGATCTAAACTCAAACTCCACCTGTTA